AATTGTACCAATTTTAAATAATTTAGTGGTTTTCTGACACCACATTATGCATGCTAAGAATTTCTAATCATCTCTGTGTGTACTTCACCTAGTGAGCCTTATTAAAATACATACAAACCACACAGGCAACGAAGAGTCTTCTAAAGTCTTCAGTTGAGTCCATGAGACAGTCTTCAATTGTTTGCGTTTTCAGTTAAACACCCCCCATCACCAACACCAAACACAGGAAGTCTTTCTCTGGTTTGGCTTTCATAGTGAAAGTGGTGTTTGTTCAGCGTGTTGGGGTTTTTTTTTTGGTTAGAGGCTTGAATGGGGTTGAGAAGCTAATTCAGCTGACATCTTTGCGTGCACTGACGTAAAAAGAGGTTAAACAATTGCAAACAGACATGGTAGACTGACTGCACTCCACATTGTACAGTGAGGTAGCTAACAGTGGGCGGACCGACATAGCTGAGGAAAAGGCTAATCTCATAAGATGAAGTAAACTGGCATGATGTAATATGGTATAGTATAGTATAGTATAGTATACAGTTCATCTAGCCATCCCACTGGAGATCAGAAACTTTTTGGAGAAAAGAAGAATTTCCTGTTAGTTTTTATTGTGCTTAACTAAATTTGCATATATATTGAAATGTTAAATATTTTTATATAATATATACAAAAATATTGTATATTATAGACTTACTGCCCAGATAAATAGCCTTTAGCATTTCCTTTGACTGCCTAAGACTTTTGCACAGTACTGTATATAATATATAGTAAGACAATAACATGTATATAAGAAGGCAGGAGTGCACTGTTTAGCACTGAGTGGGGTGTAGTTTGTTGGGAGAGGGTGGGGTTTGAGAATTTGCTAGCAGTTCAGAGGGGTTTCAAAAGTTCTGTCTGGGGGAGGGGGTCACCATGGGCTTATCTTATAATATAGCTTTTTTAATTATTTTTTCCATATTATTCATTAATAAAAAATGATTGTCTCCCGTATACTATGCCTTAGAATCCTGATCATGTTCTATGTGCATCAAATCCTTTTTGTTTGCTCACTAGTGTTGTGTTTCTTAAATCAGTCCTCAGGGAGCCCCAGACAGTTCACATTTTTGCTCTCTGGTAGCTGAGAGGAAGCAAAAAATTTGGACACATTGGCAGGAATCTGGGAGGGAGCAAAAACATGGACTATCTGTGAGTTCCTGAGGACCGGGTGGAGATGCACAGTACCAATGTAACCTCTTTGTTATGACGACTTTGTGTGGAAGGTAATGATTTATCGATCTAACCATGATGGAATCTGCCAGAAGTTGTGCACAGTTTAAGGATGAGAGTGAAGAAACGCAGGGGAGGGAGGGAATCCCCAAATCTGCTGTGAAATGGCACTCAAAGCGCTGCCCCGTGTTCTCCTTAGTCTCTGAAGTGCCCACCTGATTCTGTTCCGCCTGCAGCCAAAGAAGGACCTACACTTCCTGATGGAGGTCAACAACGAGTACAAGGGTCTCCTGGGCTGTTTCCCGGACACCATCGGGGTGCACAAGGTACGCAGACCCGGCACTGGGGGTGACCCTGCCAGCCACTCTGTCCTTGGGTGTCTCGATCAAGGTGGAAGGTGATATTCACGTGGCGTGTCAGTCGACGGGAATGTCACGTGGCGCAGGTGGTGTAGGCAAAGTTGGATATATTACAGCAGCCTTTTCCCTGAAGGACGATACGTGAACAACATGTAGTACAACACAGCATATGCTCCTAAATGGGGGGGGGAATAATGAAACCAGGAGAAGCAGCTCATGGGTGTCTGTAGGGCAGCCAGCACCCTGACCTGGGATTCTGTGGGACATACGAGATGGAGAATCCCGGTCTAAACCACACTCCAGGAACAAGGCTCCAGGGGACCGAACCGATACTGACAGCTGCCGTCGTAGAAGTGCATCACTCAACAGTACCATTCAACTGCGTCTTTCAGCTCTCGGGCCCCAGCCTGAAAGTGGCTGTTTTCTGCTTTGCCCAGGCGGCCATAGAGAAGGTGAAGGAGGGTGACCGGCTGGTGGCCACCAGTAAGATCACCTCGCAGGAGAAGACCACCATGGGCAAGCGGGTCGGCACCATGTCCTACGCCCTACAAGGTAGTGCACCGCTGTATCAGCTCATCCAGCTCATTTGAATATTAATTAAAAACAACAATGTATTATGATTTACTGCCTTTTTTACCCATTTGTATAGGCTACCTATTTTAATTGAATAATTTGGGTTAACACTCTTGCTTAATTACACAACGGAAGACTCTTTCTGGGTCTTGAACCTGCAACCTATATGTAATGAACCTATATTCTCAACCATTAAACTGCAGGCATAATAATCAGTCAGTTGCTGTTAATCATAGCAAGAAGGGAGGTAAACAGGATCTCCTAATGATTTTACCCCATCCTCTCTATCCAAGCTGAGATGAACCACTTCCATAGCAACCGGATCTATGACTATAACAGGGTTATGCAGCTTTACCTGGAGGAGCAGGTGAAATTCTATGAAACGGTGAGTAGGGCTGGCATATTGGTCGCACTTCATGCTTTTCTTCTTGTGCAAAACTATCGGGAATCTACTGGTCAGCAGCTGTTGCATTGCAGTCATGTTTACATGGAATGTGCATCTCTTTTGGGTCGGTGACATCACCAGATAGGTGACTGACCTTTGCGTCAGCTTAGCATTAGGGAAACCAAGCAGCATGAACCAATCGGAGCAGACCGGTGATTTGGCTCAAGAATAAGCCACAAATGAATGCTGTTCATTTATTACTGTCTGACCACTCGATCCACCCTTTTGAAAGTCTCAGGTTGAGGTGATAGTGGAGTGTAGAAGATGGATATGATCATATTTTCAAATAAGTTGTTTAATATTTTATCTGGATAATCCTTTTGAATTAGGGTTGGTAGTTGAAGCTGAAGTAGCTCAGATGACAGCAAAGCAAAATGAGCTTCCTTGAATCGTGCCAAGCTCTCACACAATCATCAAGGCTTTGTAACGTGAAAAAGCTTCCTGGCTGTTTCGGTGCTCTTCCTGCAGATCGCCGAGAAGCTGAAGCAAGCTCACGGCCGGTTTACCACGATGTAGAGATGGACTCTGCAGATGTCAATTCCACAGCCAAACTACTCTTTGGTTGCTTGTTTCTTGTATGCTCTTCACATGTTATTGATAATTAATGATTTCAGCACTATATAATTAGCTGTTACACTTGGGCCAATGATATATTAAATGCAAAACAATGAAACTCAAGGTTATTATACAGTATGAATACTACAGACCTGTTTTCAAAGCACTTACAAAGAGTCGCTATACCTCCGGTGCCGGTGGGTGCATTTCAAAGCTTGTGTGCATGCATGAAGTGCATCACATAGATGTTGTGCGGTGACTTGCAAGAAAACATGCCTGTCTTCTGATCATCAGATTGGACTTTGGACTTTTTATTTTTTTTGGAAGATGGATTTCCATTGGTGTCTTGCACATTTCATTGCTGCCTTGCTGGTCTCCTGACGCACAGGGAGAGGTTGGCCAGACATGGTTTGCCTGAAGTCCGGCAAACTGGCGATAATAGAGGCAGGACCTCCACAGTACCCAGTGTGCCCAGTTAACCAGACAGGAAATGTATCATTCCGGCTGCACACTGCCTTGCATTAAGAAGACAATGGGGGGGGGGGGGGGGAGCATTTGCACGCAACAGCACAAGTGTCCTTCAGCAGATGTGATTCCAGAAGGTTCCCCGAGGAGGAGATCGCTAGGACTCATTGGGCACTGGGGGCAGGGCCTGATATGGGTACACTGCATGTGAGAGACCTCACTGGAATCCTGATGCTCCCTGGCAAACACTCGGGGTCCTGTAATGCCCGCGGCTGCTGCCCTCACTGGCTGCTTTGACTCCACTCTGCCTACATTTCAACTGCAGTATCTTCTGGAATTGCTCTTTGACCTTTTTTTTTTCCTAACAAGTGTAATAAATTATATATATATATGTATAAATTTATAATATGGTAAAAACGTGTGCTCTGGTCATTGGTGCATTTCAACGGGTTTGCGCTTAAACAATGACGCTGCGGCTCACGGGAATGCCCACTGGTGCCCCCCCCCCCCGCTCACGCTGACACCACAGCCGGGCCCGCTGAGATTCTTGTACCCGTGGCACAGAATGAGAATGAGCTCTGATCTGGCCCCTTTCAAAGGGGTGACTGTTGGAGGAAGCCGCAGCCGGTATTTTCTTGCAGGACCGTCTGCGGGGGGGATAAAGGGCTCTTTTACCCTCGGCCTATACTCAGGTGCTCTCGGGGGGGCTGGTACAGGCCGCTCATTCTAACCAGGGAGCGTTGCTTTGATTTCTTAAACACACATGTGCTCATAAGTGCCCCGTCTTACATGCCAGTACGCTGCTCTAAAGTGTGTTTCCATTAGTTTTACACAAATTGTAAGCAAATGTTCTGTAAGTCAACAGTTAATTTGCAAATAAGGTGTTTCCATGAATGAATGCCATGTGAATAATACTTGCTGTTCTCACTGCGACACTAATCTCCATGTGTCATACTTCAGCTCTCCACTAGTTCATAGCTCTAGAAGTAATTTTCCTACATATCTACTAATTCGGATTCTGCTGCGGCATTGCAAATGAGTCTTTTCTCAACTAGCCACAAACGTAAAAACGTACGTAAAAACCATTTCATGATATTAGGTTTTTTTTTCTAAATGCAAGTTTTCCGATTATTTCACTTCACAACTTTGAAATGTACAATATCTAGGTTAATGTAAACACCCAGTCTGTAGCTTGCTTGTTCTATATAAATGGCTTCCCTTATCATATGATGTGTATAACTGCCAGTTATACAGAGGTGTGTGAAGGTCATTCAGTGGCCACCTCCCTGCAAAGCCCCCCCAGCTCAGATCACAGTTATTCCATTTGTAATCCAACAAGGTCCAATCGCAGATGATCCAGTTAGAGCTCTAAAGTCCTACAGTACTGCCCGGGGGGGGGGGGGGGGGGGGGGGGGGGGGGGGTAAATAATACCTGTCCCCACCCCCCAAAGCCCACGTTTTTTTATTTTTATTACTTCAGTTATATGCCATTAATTATCGCTTTTCCCCCTTTTATTTTTTTTTACAGTAGACATATAGCACACCGCACCAGAATGATGAACCATCAGTGAAAGGTCGACAGACCATATATAATCCGATCCACGTTATTCATTTTTGCGTAGCTCCGAGGAAAAATAAGCAGTTTATGGCCAAAAAAAGAAACAAATACTGTGTTTCTGGCTTTTTTTGCCCTCGAACCCTCAAAGTGTCCATTTGTAGAATCGGTTGAAGCCTTAGCAGCCTGCGTCCGTGAGGATGCCGAGGATTCGGCCCGGATCGTAATTGCGAAGCGGAAGCTTCTTTCTTTGGTAGCTGCCCTGGGCCCTGCAGGTGCTCTCTATCCGGCTCTGTTTGGGTCCAGTATGACACACGTGCAAAGAATGAACTCAGACAGAGCTCCCTCCAGTGTAAACAAGCTTAATCACAATGGGCTTTTTGTGTGAGTCAGAGACCTGGAATGAAGCATGTTTATTACTGTTGTCCATTTCACGGTGCTTTTCAGCTGCTGTAGCCTTATGACCCATTTTGTGGTGAAATTTACTTCACAAAAAATAGTGCAGTAATGGTAAATAAAACATGAGTAACAGTGGTGCAGTGCTGTCGTGCACTGTTTAAAAACGAAAGCAAAAAATTCTAACCACATACTCAGCGACCCGCCACCCACCAGTTATCAGTGGCCTAGCAGACGGTCAAGGAATTCACAAATTCAGCTGTTTTATAAGAAGGAAAATTACAGAATGTATAACCCGTGAAGTTTTGTTTGTAAGATATTATTTATTATATTTTTGCTTAATCTGCTATTCATGTTTTCCAGATTCTTGTCAAAGCTATCAAACACAGTATTTATCATTGTACCTTATGCAGGACATTTGTTTATATGTATGTTAACAGATCAGTAAAACATAGTGTGAAAAAACCACATAAAAATGAAGAGGTGTCTCTCTGGCTGCAGCATAGCAGTGGGCAGAGCTGCCAGGCTTTCCAGACGGAAACATGGCGTCCTGTCCCCTCACCTCTCTTTAAATGACCCCCCCCGGCTGCATCGTCACGGTGATGGGCGGGGCCGGAACGCCCGTGGTCGGATCATCATGCTCACCTTCTTCAGGGAATAATAATCGGAATCCTTCCAGCTGTACCAGACGATGCCATCTGGGCCCGGGGGCCTCTTGCCCCTGGGGGTGTATGCCCCCCCCTGGTGAAGGAGGAACATAAGTCAGTCACTGCTGTGGGGATGGGCGTCTGGTCTCCCTGGAGGTATTTCCTCATGAGCCATGCAAATATGTGGGAGTGTCGTGTGACTGATCAGAAGGTTGCTTGCTCAAATCCCAAAGTTGGCGGAGTCATTTCAACGCCGGGTCCCTGAGCAAGGCTCTGGATCCACTGCGATTGCTGCAGGGACTGGCTTTCTCAGAAATGCACCTCACTTTGGATAAAAATGCCAGCTAAGTAAAAGTTAGGTATATATGTTCAATGAGAGGATTTCTTTCACCAGACCCCTCTGTTGTTCACCCAGTTGGATCATGAACGAGGCCGACTATGTGTCTAGGGTCCAGGTTGCCAGAACACTCCCTCCCACTCCAGATCTCCTGACGGTGGCCGTACCTTATAGTAGACACCATTGAGGTTGGAGAGGAAACACCGGTGATACCACCAGCCTCCGCGTGAGATCTGGGCACAAATGTTGCCCATGTCGGGCGTGCTGAAGGTGTGCTTGTTGTGGTACCAGCCGAAGGAGTCCTTCACCGTGCCGCTGAAACCGGAAACGTGCAGGCGGTACTGGGTCTCCTCCCCGTCGAGGCTGCCCAGTGAGAGACGTGTGAAGGGGCGCTCTGACCTACCCGTCTGACACACACGCTTCTGCAGTATGGGGACACGGTCCAATCTAACCAATGGCTTGCTAAATTCAGCCTGTTGGATGTTTTATGAAAAGTCTTTTTTTTCGTCGCTTTATATACAAAACATTAGCAGAACTTAGTTTCCTTTGTAAGATGCATTTTTCAGCTAATATTTTTTATCACTGGGTCCTTTTTGACATCTCTGTACATTTTCTATATGTTTTCTGTGTGTGTGTAAGTGCGTGTGAGTGAGCGCACCCTTTGATGGACTGACACCCTGTCCTGGGTGTGCGCCTGCATTGTGACCTGCATTGTGTCCTGCATTGTGACCTGCATTGTGACCTGCACTGTGACCTGCATTGTGTCCTGCATTGTGTCCTGCACTGTGACCTGCATTGTGACCTGCATTGTGTCCTGCATTGTGTCCTGCATTGTGTACAGTGTTACTCCCCATTCCACGATCCTGACCAGGATAATCATTTGGAAGATACACAAATAAAATTTTAAAAACTACATATGAGGAAAGGGAATAAATTTTATAGCCTATAGGAAATCATTATGGGGTTTTTTTCCCCGGGTGGCCTCATGTAAACACTGCCTAACTCAACCAATCAAATGGTTTAAGGCATTTAGTCTTGCTACCCATGACCCTGACATAGATATGTGGTTCAATGGATGGGTGATGATGTCACAATAATTTTACACAGAGGTTCAAATACTCTATGTGATTCAATCATTCATGCTTCTTCTATGGTGGTCAGGAGCCTATTCTGGAAACAATGAGTACAAGGCAGAGAATAACCCAGAATGGGGCGCCAAACCACCTACCTAATACATATTAAACTATTATAGCTATTGGTTTCTGAAGCCATGAACCCTTTTGTGTAATAATGACTTACTTGGGTTACTGAATTTGTCAGGGAGAGTCAACTGCCATTAATGTTTCAAACCAGTTTTCCTACATTATGTGCAAAAAGCTTGTTGTCCCGTAAACATGAGACGATTTCCCGTGTTCCCGTATTTGAGCGTTCCAGCTTCAAGGGCTCTTTGTTTCAGCTACAAAATCTATAAAGAGGCTTCTGCAGACATCCAAGGTTGCTGTTGAACACATTGAGAGGAATAAGGCACAAGCTAATAGATCTTCAGTTTGCGATTTAAGTGCTTCTCAAGAGTCTTGGATGAAGGAGCGTATGACTCAGTCCTCCCAAGGATGATGTGGTTGCAAAAACATAAAGGGCCGGGACTTTGTAGGCGGTGTTTTTGGGTTTGTTTTTTTTTTTTTGCACGTTTTTCCCTTTAAAACCTACAGTGGACAAGATTATTGTGTGCCGTCAGTCATTGGCTGCTTGAACATGCTTTCTGTTGAATGCTTTTCCGGATCTCATTGGGGGAACCAGGCAGTGATTGACAGCGGACGGTAATCCCACCCACTGTGGGCTACGAAGCCTAGTATCACCCATCATTGGTTAATGTTATGATCCTGAACTTTGCTTCAAACTTCAGAGTACTACTAAAAAATTAAGACTAAATGAAGAATTCTGGGACTCCATCCATCCACCCACCCATCCATCTTCTAACTGGTCAGGTTTGGAAGGGGTTTCTGAACGTGTCTCGGTTTGCCGAAGTCTCAGCTGGTTTCTCCGCCCAGGTACCCAGGGCAGCGCCGTAGAGAGGCAGCGTTCCGGGTGGAAGGGGCAGCACCCACCTGAAGCTCTCATAGGTGGCGTGTTTACGCCCGCTGCTCCAGTCCTCCAGCTGGATCCGCAGTGTGTAGCTCCCTTGCCGGGACAGCGTGTGGATGTGCTCGTTGCCCAGCCAGAAGTCGGAGTGCAGGTCGCCAAAGCCCAGCTTGTACTCCTGCCAGCCGCGCTGGAAGCTGACGGCGCCGTCCTGCCGCCGCTGGATCACGGTCCAGCCGCCGCCTGCCGGGCAAACGGCACGCGGCTGACGGCTCGGGGGTGGGGGGCACCAGATGGGCACAGAGCTGGCCATTCCCTGAAGAGATAGCTTCATCTACAGGTAACCTGAGTGCCTCCAGATGTTCAGGGAGGGGGGGGCAGAGCAGGTTATGGTGGGGTGGAAGGTCTCTGGAAGTTACTAATCTAATAATAGCTAAGTACTCTGGAGGAATGCTAAAATAATCATTACTAATCCCAAAGCACTCTAACAACACTAAAGTACCTTCTACTGCTACTAATATAATCATTACTAATGCATAAGTGCTCTGTAATTATACTAAAATCGATTCTGTTAAAATTACAATAATCTTTACTAATCCCAAAGCACTCTAATAATACTAAAGTACCTTCTATTGCTAGTAAAATAATCATTACTAATGCATCAGTGTTGTGTAATTATACTGAAATACCTTCTAGTAATACTAAAGTAATCAGTACTAATAGACAAGTACTCTAATGCCAAAGTATTCTGGACAAATACTAAAGTCCCCTCTTTGCCAATACCAAATTGCCCTTTACAAACACCAGAAGTACTTGACTGATACTAAAATAAAACTGAATCCAGAGAAGTTTTAAAGAAATGAAACCTACAATGAAATTAATCAGGTGCCTTATAGTTGGACCCAAGCTGACACTGGGGTAATACATGAAAGCAGAACCGATATAACAGTGGAATATTGGTAAAATCTCAGTGCTCACCGGCAGTGTCCATGTCGCAGAAGACCTCCACAGGCCAGGCCCCCATAGAAGGCACCACAGTGTAGACCCCCGAGCGGCGGACGCCGTCGTGATAAACGGAGGCACAGTCCATGGGGCAGCTCCTCACCTGCCGGACATCTGAAACAGAGGCGGGGGTCGGACACTCTTCTCCGGGACTTAGGACAATTATTGAGGTTAAAACCTTTTGTTTCTGTGTTGCAGAACTATTTTTTATTCACTACACATTTTCACAATATCCATCCATCCATCTGTCTGTCGTAAAACCACTGCTGCTGGGGATTGTGGTACATTTCCTCCATCACATTGCATGTGGAGGTGTAACCATCTGCAAAACCATAATCACTTCTGGCTCCTGGAAATATGTCTCCCCCTAGTGGTGGGAATAATGCTAGAACTAGGAAGAATAAGTTCAGGAGCAAAGCAAGCTTATTAATCCGCGGAAACATTAACGTACCCATAAATTATTTTGCAGAATAAATCAATGTTTTTGAGACCCATTTTGCAGTAAAGGTGGATCTAATTCAGCACTGAAATGCAAAGGGTTGCTATCCTCCTTGAAATGTATGAAAGCCAGCAGTTAGCGGCTAGCTGGGCGGCTCGCGGCCCACCTGGGTGCAGGGCTTCGTGGGCGCTGAGCAACTCGCTGCCACGCACTACGTTGACCATGCAGCCTGGGTTGCGACGGGCCTTCTCCACTAACGTGGCCAGGTTGTGCAGCTGCACTTGCATGTCGTGGACGAGGACGCCCTGCAACCGCAGCGTCCCGCCGGCCTCGGCGCCATGCCGCTCCGCGTCCTGCAGCTGCTGTTCCAGCGAGGAGTTCAGCCCGTTCTTCTCCTCGTTCTAGGGAGACGCGAGCTACCAGTCACCTTAATCTCATTCAAAACTGCACGTCCTGGGGTCAAGAATGGTAACTGCTAATGGCTCATTTCCCCTAGTCACGGTATTGTGAATGATCTATCTATCAATCTATGTCAATTTATCATGGGTTTGACATAGGATGACCACTGGACTCTTACATCCAAAAATTAGGACTAAAACAATAATAAAATCATTCTGTGAAATTGTATGTTCTTGCTGTTTCAGATTTTAAAAAAAGTCCTACCCAGCCTGAGTACATTTCATTCGTTCAGTAAAACACACTTAAAATAATGCAGGGTGGGATGGATGACTCTTGATCATTTTGCTTGTTGATCACTGATCGTCTCGTCGGCTTTGCACGGCTCGTGCATTTGCCGTCACAGCCTAACCTGCAGCTCCAGCACCTTGACGCGGTGCCGGTGGTGCCGCAGCTCTTCCTGCAGCTCCGAGACGGTCTCCTTCAGCGCCAGGACCTGCTGCTTGCGCTGCTCGTTCTCGCGCCGCCACCGCTGCGCCTCTTCCGTGCACCGGAACACGTCCGGGCAGCGCCGTTCACCCCACTGCGTCGGCACGGCCGTGATGCCACACTGGCCTCCGGGCAGCACCCGGTTGCCGTGTTGGCTGCAGGGGGGGCTCTCCTGCAGCCCCATATCTCCGGCTCCCCCTGTGGGCCGGCCGCTCCATATGGCCAGGATGGCGGTGCTCTGCAGTAGAAGCGGGGCCAGTGGTGGCATCCTGCCCCACCTCCGGCGCCCTGAGGGTGGCCGTCAGCTGGTCACGTGGAGAAGGTGCTGCTGGATTCCCCTCCAAAAATTCCTAGCCTCCAGTTTTCCTTCCTCCAGGAACCTGAACCTACAAAATGAGCAGGAGTTTCTCCCATCTGCTGCCACTTACAATCCCTTTAGGTTGTACAAAATAATGTTTGCAAGAAACAAACTACACTTGTGGCCAAAATTGTGAAAACACTTCAAATTTTTAGAGATTGCAGAACTTTATTAAACTGTTGCTCAAGTTACTTATTTAACCGTCTAATGTATGATATTTGTTCTTTGATTGTTTATAAACGTATTTGTATAGTATTTTTGAAGTGTAATGCCAAAAATTCTACGTGTTTCCACAATTACATGCCCTTGCACCCAAGGTACATGGAATGCAGCAAACCGGAAGGGTGAGAATGACGTACGTCTTCCCCAGGAATCGACAACCAGTCCGTACATGGACAAAATGGTGGCAAGACTCACCTGTATCCGTGAAAAAAAAAATGATTGAGAAGAAAAATTATTTAGGCTATGTTTTTAAATACCATGTCCGTGGTAAAAATAATATATAAAAAAGCATTTTGATCAAAATGTTTATCAGAATTCGCCATGGTGTTTCACCCCCGGTCTTTTGCAATGGAGTCAGGGTAATTGGTATTGAAGGTGAAGCCTTAACACCGAGCAGACTACAGTCAGCCGACCACTGACGTCCCGTTGCTCTGAGCTCCTCATCCGGCTCATTCCACCTAATCGGCTTTTACTGAACCCTGTCCCCGTAATCAGCCGCGATGCGTCACCCGATCACGCTGCGTTCCTCTGATGTTACCACCAGCATGATTTTATTTGCATCATATTACAGTTATACTTTTTTATACACTCATGTGCACAAAAAATGTCTGTATATTTTGCCTTCTTGGTAGTGTGCATATTTTCGGCGAAGAGGGATATTACCGGCCCGAACCGAGTGTTTGGCCCCCCTACTTAAGATTATCGGCAAAGGAGGTCTTCTGGCCCCGGACCAGCTTCGCCTGTGCTGGGGTACGACAGAGCGGCACAAAGTGCGATCGAGAGGCAGACCTGGTCCGAGAAACACTTCTATAATAATTATGTTTGTAAATGTATTGCATTTTTTTTCTTGCTCGCAAAATATACACAGCAATTATGGGGCTGTATTGCTTTGTATACAGTATTCGCCAGTGTCAAGAAGTCTTTCCAGTTCCATCCAATATGTGCAAGAGCAACACGTGGTTGCAATTCATTACATTTTGCATTTAATCAGTTGATAATTTCTACATCTTTAACTTTCAAATACTTTTCGAAGAAATTTAACCAAGACTGTCCTAAGTGTGCTTAGGATTTTAGGATTTTAGGTAATCATCCAAATGTTATTTTCTTCCTATACAGTACTTGTTAAACTAACAGATCTTACCATCAGTTATGCCTTTAGTTACACTGACAGTCTTGCACAGTCCACCACAATTTTGGACCATTTGATACAGAAATTTCCTACATACTGATTCTGCAATACCCCTAAAAGCTGCACCTTTCTCCAAATCTCTTACATTTCAGTGAAATACAAGCATACTTTCTGCGTATTTTTAAACCCCCTGAAGTGTTCCACTCATATAGGCTACAAGCAGTTCGGCAACTTAAATAGTGCAGGGTAAAAGCTTAAATTACCTCACTTGCTGCTGATAAATGCCCTCGGGAATGAAGGTTGGAGTGCGAGTTCAGCGATAGGCTCCGATCCTTCTTTTCGTAACTGAACCAGCATCTCAGAGCATCGGTTCTGTGGCTCAGGAAAGTGGAAGACATATCTTACCTCTGTAATCCATCCTAATTGGATTGAGACAATGATGGAGCACATTAAACACACCACACAAAATGGAAGGCAGAGAAGACAACTATCATTTAACCATAATAATAACTACTTAAAACCTTGGTAAAATACTATAGTAGTATAGCAGCTGACGATAAAACTGGAAATTGAAACTCATTTTAATTAATTTTTTGCTGTTAAATTTGAGGCTCAATTTGTATTTTCTACATTATTCCATGAATATCAATGTATCTAGAACTAAAGTAGCAAGATATATATATACAGTTGTGCTCAGAATAATAGCAGTGTGTCTAAAAAAGTGAATAAAGCTGAAAATCCTTATAATAGTTTTTATTTCCATACATGCAAATGCACCAGGAACACTAAAAAGTCTATTCCAAATCAAAACAAGAAGAGAAATTCATCACATTTGTGTTACTCCTTTACAGAAAGTGAATATTAGGCTGTTCAAAAAAATAGCAGTGTCCACATTCTTCTTTACAAACTCAAAGATTCACTGTATGAACTGAAAAATGTTTTAAGATTTTGCTTTCCTTTGAATCATTGAACTAATATTTAATTGTATAACCACTGTTTCTGAGAAATGCTGCACATCTGTCTTGTATGGAGTCGACCAACTTCTGGCACCTGTGAACAGGTATTCCAGCCCAGCCTGATTGGACTACATTTCTTGGTTTTGCCTCAGAAACAGCATTTTTGATGTCACCCCACAAGTTTTCTATTGGATTAAGGTCCGGGGATTGGGCTGGCCACTCCATAACATCAATCTTGTTGGTCTGGAACCAAGATGTTGTTCATGTGTTCGGCGTCGTTTTCTTGTTGAAACACCCATTTCAAGGGCATTTCCTCTTCAGCATAAGGCAACATGACCTCTTCAAGTATTTTGAGGTATTCAAATTGATCCATGATCGCTGGTATGTGATAAATAGGCCCGCCACTGTAGTATGAGAAACATCCCCATATCACGATGCTTGCACCACCATGCTTCACTGTCTTCACAGTGTACTGTGGCTTGAATTCAGTGTTTGGGGATCATTTGAGAAACTGTCTGCAGCTACTAGACCCAAAAAGAACAATCTTGCTTCCATCAGTCCACAAAATGTTGCAGCGTTTCTCTTTAGGCCAGTCAATGTGTTCTTTGCCAAATTGTAATCTCTTCTGCACATGTCTTTTTTTCAGCAGTGGGACGTTGCGGGGGCTTTTTGCAGATAGCTTGGCTTCATATAGGCGTCATCTGATTGTAACAGTACTCACAGGTAACTTTAGACCTTCTTTGATCTTCCTGGAGATGATCATTGGCTGAGGGGTGAGGGGTCATTCTGTTAGGGAGGATCTGCATTTGGCTATTCTTCGATCCATTTGAATGGTAGTTTTTTGTTTTTTTCCATGTCTTTTAGGTTTTGGTTACCATTTTAAAGCATTTGCGATCATTTTAGCTGAGCAGCCTATCATTTTCTGCACTTCTTTATATGTTTTCCCCTGTCCAATCAACTTTTTTCAATGTCTGGAATTCAATTCAATTCAATTCGCGAATTCAATTCAATTCAATTGATACTTTATTGATCCCCATGGGGAAATTGTTTTTACGCCTCCCTCAACTTGCTCTTTGTAGAGTAAGCTGTCCTCAGGAACATGTCTGTAACGGCGCCCAGGGAGCTGGGGGTTAAGGGTCTTGCTCAAGGACCCACAGACGTGCTGAGGCTGGGCTTGAACCGGCGACCTTGTGATTACAAGCACACGGCTTAGCCCACTGAGCCACACGCTGTCTGTGAAAATGACCCATTTTACTCAGAATTTCAGAGAGAAATGCACTATAACCAGCATGTACAACATTTGCTGCCTTCCTTCCTTAAATAAGGTCCATAATTGGCACCTACTTTTTCACAGAATGACCTCACTAATTGAACTTCACACTATTATTTTGAACACACCCCTTTCAAGTAATGATTCTGTTACACATAATCAGCAGCATGCATGTCATGACTGTTGGGTCTGTTGGTTTTCCATTACTCTACTACACCTACTAGTAAATTATTTGCCATGTAGAAATATAATTTCTACCAAAAACGGTGATTGATCAGGTTAGTCATGTTGGACTGCTATTATTTTGAACACAACTGTATATATAAATTTACAGCTGATTGTACTGGAAGGTCATTTTCAAAGGTCAGTTTCTTTACTGACACTTAACAACAGTCCTTGGGACTTCAAGATTTAGCACAAAATATTTAAGAAACAAATTCATGATGTTCTTCAGTTTTGTCATATAGTCTCAAACTGCAGATCCTCCCTAACAGAATGACCCCTCACCCCTCAGTTGAATACTAGGTGCCTGTTCTCTGTTGTCTGTGACTGCTTAAACTCTCCTAGTGTAGTTGCAAAGTATTATCTCTCAGTTATGCATTGTGGTCTGAGCATTAGTTGTTTGTGGTGTTAGATGTCTCTGGAACTGCTGCCTTTGATTGTTGTTTTTTTATTTCCCCGCACTTTGCAATTGCCCAATTTGTCCTTCAACCTGAAACTTGGATATAGCTTTGATAATTAAACCCCACAACTAAATCCTAACCTGCGAATCTCTCATCTCTATGATGATTTTACCGATCGCTGATTATGTCTTTTACATTTTACATTTACATTTACAGCATTTAGCAGACACTCTTTTCCAGAGCGACTTACAACCAGTGCTTTGTCGTCCATGACTGTTCTTCGATCTATAAGCTAAACCTAAAATCAACAATTATCATCAAGATCAAGTTAGTGCTAAGTACGTGTTTTATATTAAAAAACCTTGTTAGGAAAAGCAGTGCACAGAAAAAAAATTGTTAGTGGGATATATATATATATATATATATATATATATATATANTAGAGAGAGAGAGAGAGAGAGAGAGAGAGAGAGAGAGTGGACAGTAAATAAATAAAAAAAAAAAACATATACCTAATACTCCAAGCGTTGTTGTAGCAATGTTGTTTTCAAATGCCTTCACCATTTAAAAACTTTTTAAAAATACAATCTCAATCATGTTTGTCATTCTTAGTGAACTCCTAACCCTTCCTTGCTCTCCTGGATGAGTGCTAAAAGTGTCTTATTCGCAGAAGAGCACAAAGAGGGGGAAGAGATAAACAAGGCAGAAACTCTAGACCAGTCCAGGTGCCTAATGGCAACCCTTTAATAAAAGACATTTCCGAAAGTAAACAGGTAAATAAAATAAAAAGCTTTAGTGCAGCAATTTTCTGGAACTCTTATGCAGTCAATTTGCACATGAAAGGCAAAAAGTTATTTTTGTATCAAAGGTCTCTTCAGATAAAGACACAAATTCCTTAGAAGATGTTGTGAACAGAAATATTTCATCACATTAGCCACAAACAGATTACTCACAATTCTCTTTCCAAATTTCAAGGAATTGCTTTCTTCGGTCTTCTCCGGAACTCATAGTTCTCTGTCCCATTGTGTTTGTTATTACTAGTAGATATCAGGAAGTAATCTGACCACACAAAAGAAAATGATCTATTTGGCTATTTTGTAAGAAAACGTTGGGACTAAGAGTGAGGTTCCACAAAACCACGTCAAAACCATCTATCGTAACTAGGAATGGCGGTGATTTTGTCTTCAGGAAACATTAGAATAGAAGAAGGAATCACATTGTGGTCAGTTTTGTTTTTGAAGTGAACATTGTAGAAGGAATAAAGAAAGACAGCAACACAGCCCAAATCTCATTTGAGGCAAAAATTGTGAGGCAAAAAGTCTGCTTAATCTGATACCAGTTAATTATGCCCTCATATATTAAAAATTGAAAATTCACCTTCAGTTAGACAGCCTGCCATGTCAGTAAATGACTGCTATTAATAACAGAGCGCAAACGTTGATTCGCACTGTTTCACCCTTGTGATCCTGTATTATTAAAGGTCAAATTCATCAATACCTGTTAGTCCAATGGACTTTCCATCTTTGTCCAGAAGTCACCGTTAAGGTTTAATGTGTAAAGTTTCTGTCTCTTGAAACCTATTTCTGCCTACTTTTGGAGCAGACTTTAAATGAAGACTGACGTTATAACCACTTAAAGGCAGCATGTGCCACACTGAAGTCTTTGACCCCAACTGTTTTGAGCTAAAATGCAACTGCTGGTTTTCTCAGTGGACAGTATGTTGCCCACTTATGGCACCCTGTGGATTTGATTTCCACCTAGGCTTTGTGTGTATGACACACACACATTCGCCTTCAGTTCAGAAATGTGGATCAATATGTCAATCATTAGAATGTACTTCTAATGGAATGTTTAAGAGCAATTTGTTGCACTTTAGGGAGGTATGGAACATGGAAACAGGAGCAGCAGTCAGGTGAATACGGGATTTATTCGAGGAGAAAACATACTCAGGAACATACCACAATGTTAATGACCGGACTGGGGAAACATACTTTAAAGCGGACTTAAATACACTGGATTTATCAACAACAATGAGAATCAGCTGGTAACATGGGGATTTCACATGAGGTAGATGAGGGGGCGTGGCACACGGGAGGAGTGGACGAGTGGGGCATGACAAATTTAAAACAGTTATAATAGAGTTTAAATAAGTTTACAACACATTAGTTTTTTACTAACCATTCACCACCTTCTTCTGAATAAAAAAAAAGTTATTTCCATTTTCCAATAATTCTCTAACGTGATGACTCTTACATTTATTTCCTAATAAGCAATCAAAATCAATTTAAAATCAAATTTTACCTGTATGACAGGGATGATAAACATATTATGGTAATTTACTTAAGGCCATGTTTTTAGTCATTTATAAACACATTCATACCACATTATAATGCACTCAAAGCATTATAAACATAGCTCTAAATATTTAACAAAAGGCATAACACTTTATAGCCATGTGTATTATGCATTATGAATGCTTTATGAAGCTCTCATCTACAATGTACTATGAATACCCTTATAATGCATTATAATGGTCGGTATATAAGCATTAAGGATACTTTGTACTGCATTATAAAGCTATCTATAGTATATTATAGATGAGTGCTTCATAAAGCATTTATAATGCATAATAAAGATGGGTTTAATTAATTTTATTTAATACTTTATTGATCCCTGTGGGGAAATTGTTTTTATGCCTCCCTCAACTTGCTCTTTGTAGAGCAAGTTGTCTGTGAAGGGCAGCCACCTGTAGTGGTGCCCAGGGAGCTGGGGGTTGAGGGTCTTGCTCAAGGACCTGCAGACATGCTGAGGCTGGGCTTGAGCTGGCAACCTTGTGATTACAGGCACGCGGCTTAGCCCACTGAGCCACACGCTGCCCCAATGTGTTAATGTGTTATGCCTTTTTATAAATATTTGGTAACGCTTTATATTAAGTGCACCTTCATAAAGCATTCATAGAACATTCAGTGCACCTTCATAATGCATTCATATAGTACATTCATAAGCAGCATGCAAGTACACCTTAACATCCTAACATCCCTTACATTAATAACAAACATTACATGATTGTACGATTATAATGTTTGTTGTTATTATATAATGTTTGTTATTAATGCATATTACAGCTGTTAAGGGATGTTGGGATGTTAAAGTGTACTTGCATACTGCTTATGAATGTTCTATGAATGCATTATGAAGGTGTACTGAACGTTTTATGAATGCAATATAAAAGCATTATTAAGGTGCAGTTAATGTAAAGCGTTACCCATATGAATATCAATTATTTATAATAGTTATTTATCGACAGTCACTTGTCAAAGAATGGCTAATCAGTCGTGTGGTCTTTTAATTGTTTAAATAATGACAAATAGATGCCAAAATAATTCCTAATAGATACAAATACTAAAATTTAGTAAAATGCTAGTAAGTAATGCATGTTTATCAGGTCGAGAAATCAATACCCAATGTGAGCGGATACTCTCTTTTCCCCCCTTCCGTCCTCACCTCCCTCGCCTTTTGCGAACACAAAAGTGCCTGCCTCACGAAGTATTGTACTTTAAACACCGGCATATGTAGGAATCGGTATAAAAGGAAGAGCTTCAGGGCACGGGGAAGAAAACGGAGGGTAAGAAGACGAGACCCACCGAAGGCAGAGGAGACAGTGACACAGTCAGGACGACCTGTGGCAGGTAGGACCTGCTCAGTTTTAATCAGAGGGTGCAACTTTCCTGCATGACAACTTCGTTTATATTGATATTCTATTAACATCTTTATCCGATTGGTCTATGTCATGCATCAACACCCGTAAGACACTTTTAACGTTATATCGGTATATGCCGCGTATTCCTGGTAATGGCACCTAACTAACCACGTTTAAAACCGTCATTGAACACTATAGGTTACATATTTCCTTTAATAAATGATAACGCATATATTTGATAGAACGTAGAGATAATTGCGATTTTAACATTTGAATTTGTAATAATTTAGAGAGACGTATAAGATTTTAATGAGATTATTAATGCCACAAAAAGGAAAAATATTCATGATCAGCTATACCGTTTAGCTAGGCCCTATATGAATATTCATACTGTATGTATCCTACACGTATTGATTTCAGAGGTTAATTCTCACAGAAAAAAGTTACTTAGGCTCCATTATATAAACCTACAAGCTCATTTGTTAATTTATATTATAGTATCATAACATCTGTCCATCAACCTTACAACTGCTTATTCTGAACGTGCTCGCGCGATACAAGACACAAAATATTTTAGATATGTTTAAAATATATTCTTTAAAATATAAACTTTATAATAAACAGTGATTTTTCTATTTTTCACTAGTATTTTTTCTTCATATCACCTAAAATCAGGAGAGAACCCAAATCGTTTCCTAAAAAAGAAATGAGAGAAATTAAGTCGTTTTCTGCATAGGCTTGACATACTTCATGTATTACAGGCTATGAAATGATGCTCTTTAGCGAGTCGGGTCTGCATAGCTACATAGCTAACGTGATGTCGTTTTGCAAAGAGAACTGGATGCGCCAAACCTACACGCGAGGGCGTCCTTCTGTTAGGGCGCCTTTCCTTTCGTGCCAGTCAGAGACGCGCTCCTCCCGGGCAGAAATAGCTGCCATCTACGGATATTCTGCTTAACCACGTTGAGAAGCATTTAACAGACCAGCAGGTGGCGTAACAGTTAAAACCCCCTGGACGCTGCTGTTTCTTTGATACTTAACTTTTTTTCCTTTGAAATACCGGACCGTATATTTAGTATAAATTGTAATCTCCTTTTGATAAAAATCTGTACATATATTAAAGGTCCGCAGTTTCCTTTTAAATGTGTTTTATTCCGTTATTTTGGAATTATGGGTTTTCTTTCCTATTACACCGGTAGTAAGCCTACCGCATTTTCAGCAGAGAAAACACGATACTTGGTAAAAACATATTTAGAAGCCTAGTATGGCGAATAGCAGTAATTCATTGAAATGGGGACAACATTTCAGTAACTGTAACTCAATAAATTTTGTGGTCTTACGTTTTTTTAAACTAAATCCACAACAATTTGTCCTGGCAGCGAAGCAAAGGTGTACCGTCCAGCTTTCCCAGGTGTGGTGATGATCGATGCCCATGCAGAGGTTTGTTAAATGCTCTCGCAAAACGCATCAGAAAACATCATCTTTAAAAAAACACGATTTTTTACTTTGCATTGTTGCGCCTTTATTGAATGACGCAAAACGGAATTCATATACTACCTAAATGTCAGTACTGCGTTCAGTGGTACTGAACAAGCACAAAAACACCACTTAGGGTGTGTGTGGTAATGTATATATTACTTTGCTGAGGATCAAATGTTCCCATACTGTGACAAAAACCTGTCATATACACCTTGCAGGGACATTCTTCGGTTCCCACAAAGATAAAGATACCTAATTTGTATCTGTGTGTGTGTGTGTGCGTGTGTGTATGTGTGTGTGTCTGTATGTGTACCGCGGTGGCCGTTCAGCGGTTACGCAGGGCAGCGATGCGCCGTGGAGCCTGGGCGTTGCTTCTGGGCGTGATCTGCGGGTGCAACCCGGCGGAGTGCGGGCAGTGCGTGGATCAGGCGTCCTGCCGGGGGGGCAGGGTCCTGGTAAGCCCGGACTCCCCAGTACCAGCAGTCTTTTACACATTTATCACAAAACTAAATGCAAGCCGTTCGTACGATGTTAAGTATCTTGTATTCTTAAAAATAAATAACCTGTTTGTATTATACAGCAGTGTATTGAATTACGTCATTAAATGTGTATTCTATTTTAGTATTTCATGGATAATGGAAATTTACATTTGGCCTGAAAATATGTCTGTAAATACTACACCACAATCAAATGACATTCTCTTACTGTAATATGTATTATATTCTCACAGGGCAGCCTACACAGTGAGCACTTTCCCACAATACACTCCTGCATAATTGTTGTATAAATTCACATTAGTCACCCCCAATAAGAGTGCTAATTCTCTGGGCCTTTTCCTCTCTAACTTTGGGCATACACCTGAATTACCTTTTTATAGCCATTAATGTAGAGAAGGACTGAAAAACAGCAAACCTGGATGCTCGTTTTCTCACCAAACCATAGCATAGCACATGGCTAATATTAGCATTTCCGTCAAACAGGAATGTGCACAGATGTGCAAGTCTGGCCTTGCAGCCAAAGTGGACAGCAGTTTTGCGAAGAAGCCCTTCCACACCAGTCCACCAGGGGGCGACACCAATGGCCCTGTCAGAACCTTGGATTCCATGTCTTTGGATGAACCAGGGCCCAAGGGGAATGAGGGGCCATTGGCCCATGAAGACAAGCGTTCTTACCCCATGGAACACTTCCGCTGGGGCAAACCCGGAGGGCGCAAACGCCGGCCAGTCAAGGTCTACTCCAACGGCATGGAAGAGGACCTGTCTGAGGCCTTCCCCACTGACATGAGGCGTCAGGTGCCCGAGGAGCCCGATTACACCCTGGAGGGAGACCAGGAGCTGGTCAATCAGAAGAATGACGGCTCCTACGAGATGAACCACTTCCGCTGGTCTGGCCCCCCTGCCAGCAAACACTACAGCGGCTTCATGAAGTCCTTGGGGGGACACAACCAAAAATCCCTCATGACATTGTTTAAAAACATCATCGCTAAAGACAGCCATTGGTAGACAGATGATAGAACACGATTAGCCGGGATTGGGGAACTAATCACTCAATACATAGCCGTGATTGTGGAACCAACCAAGTCAGGCTAAAGCCACCCTATCCCCCAAACCCGCCTGATCTCAACAACTTCTCAGCCTGACAGTTTCGGAATGTGGCGTATAGGAGAGATTACAGTCAAACACTAATGCAATTACTTTAGCCTGTGGCTTAGCTTCAGATGTTACATGTAAAACGAATGCTAACAAGCATTTCAAAGGACAACATCCTTTATGAATGAAATGTACTATATTGTAAATAATCAAATGAAATAAATAGAAACAAATGTTGCAAGCTACTAGATAGCGTTTTGTGTTTTTTTTCCAGCTAGCGCAAGGAACAGAGCATGGGCTCGGACACCAGCCTGCCACAGAGCACACGCTGACACACGCCAGGGCGCAACTCAGAAAGTCACTCTGGGGCAGCCTACTCCTAATGTAGTTACTGTTTGTGGTCAGCAGGGGGCAAACTCAGGGAAAGTGGGAGGGATACAGGAAGCCAGTCTAAAGGCTGCCGGACAGTATGACAGATGCAGAGGGGGGAAAAAATGAGGGGAACTTTCAGGAGCACAGCTAGAAATTCTAGCCCCCCCTGATAAAAAAAAAGGGCAGTGTGTGGCTCAGTGGGCTAATCCTGTGTGGCTGTAATCAGAAGGTTACTGGTTCAAACCCAGCCTCAGTGTGTCTGCAGGTCCGTGAGCGAGGCCCTTAACCCCCAGCTCCCTGGGCACTACTGCAGGTGGCTGCCTTTCACAGACAACTTACTCTACAAAGAGCAAGATGAAGGAGGCGTAAAAACAATTTCCCCATGGGGACAATAAAGTATAAAAAAAAAATAATAATAATTTCCTTGGGCTCCCCCTGCCTCCTTCAAATTGTATAATTTTACGTATTCAGGGACCCCTGTAAGGTTCTGCACCCTCAGAATCTGCCAGGGTATCAATGCCCCTATTGTGCCCCAGGGAACTTGCTCAGCACATGATATATAACTCTGCAGAACAGGCTCACACAAGAGACAGAAGTTATACAGGTTCACAGTACACAAACGGCCCCGATGCAGGAGACAGGACCCATACATCACTGTAACAGAAAGGACTCCGTGCAGGTGACAGGACCCGTACATCACTGTAACAGAAAGGACTCCATGCAGGTGACATCTGCTCCGATCCCGTCCGGCATAACGAGCAGCAGCTCACCACCAAACTGAATATGGAATTTGCTCCAGAAGCAGACGGTATTATTACAGACTGAGAGAAGATCTAGGACATTCTATGGTCTATGTCTGTCCAGGTTTCCTATAGCTGCATATAGGGCAGTGCTTCAATAACTGCATCAATATGAAAAGATTTGCACACTGTCACCGGAGTTCATTACGTTCACATTTTTAGCAAACACTTTTGGCCAGGTGGGGAAAGCATTTGTTCAGACTGCAGGTCCTTAAGGGTGATATTATCACTTGTCAGTCATGGGATTCAAACCTACAACCTTTGAACACAGGTACAGACCTCAACAGGTGTCATTATCAGGAATGGGAAGAATGCCCCCAGCTGTGTTTAAAGGCTGATGCACAGCTACACACCTGTATAGGGATTTGCCAATAGGTGAGTTAGAGCTATGGAATGAACAAGAACCGGCTGAAATCTGGCAATCGTACAAAATTCAGGAAATCCTTAATAAACCCCACTATAAAATTAAAAACTACAAAGGAGCAAAAACACAGCATTGCACAGCTCACAAACACTTCAGCCTAGGAGAACATAACAGGAACCCTGCAAGACACTCAATATTGCTTCCTCCTACATACAGAAAAGTAGCAATCAAAATGTAACCTTAACCAAAGCAAATGCACAATACAGAAGCAATGATATTACACTGATTCACTGTCAGTTTATGGTTGAATGCATTGTAGCACCTTTACACTGGTTATAATGCATCAGCATCATCTTCTTACATTATACTAAAATCCAGTGCTCACTAACATGAGATGTGTGTCTGCTGGTATGATGTGTGGGTCCCTTTATGATACTAACCAAGTGGTGCTTTATATATGACAAATACCTCATACAGCGTGCACAATTTCAAAAAGATCGCTGTTTTTTTTTTTTATTTACTTGAAATTATACAGATTATTTCGGTAGCAAGGTACAGACGCAGAGTCCTCTACGCGACACCGAGCTGAAATGAACTACTTTTTGCACTGCAACATTCACTGTGATGACCTATCTCTAAAGAAACTTTCCACATACCCCACGATTTCCTGGTTTGTAATACATTTCTATGTTACTTACCTCATAGTAATCAAACTACTGCAGCTTTTGTCAGACTGAGCAAATTCATCACCATCAAGTGATTCACGTTACTGAAATACCTTAATTATTAGTAGGTTTCACAAAGACGCAGAAAACCAACACAGCAATATAAAAATACAAGGCAAGTTATGATGAATCCATGATGTTATTTTTGCTGCAGTAGTAGTATTACTTCAGCTGCATGATGCGAAAAGGAATAAATGCAAACAATAGGATATGTTGAGTTATCGGATTAAATATCCGGGGTAAACATTCAATACACAGGGACATTAAATGCATGTTTACATAGGAGGTTTAATGTAACGGGAAAAATAAGAACACAAGATGAAGCAGACAGCTTGTTAAATTAAAAGTTAGTAGTAGGAAAGTAGACCACAAACAGGATTTTTACACGTTTTTACGTCTACAAGACCAACAAGCCGTAACGGGCGCCAGAGAAAATAGATGGTGGAAAAATTATAACATGATACTAAAGCCTGACAAACGTCGACGGCGCTCAGCTTCGCTTCTGTGCAGCATCCTTGTTGGAAGTAAGACACAACGACCACTTCAGGTCACCCGTCTCACATGCTACGATCCAGACTGCTACTTTGCCCAAAAAACCACAGAGATCACGTCGCAGATGGAAGGGGAGCTTTTATCAACTAGTTCTCATGGTCTGATCTCGCTGTACATATTTCCCCTTTTTGGCACTTTCTACAATCAAAGCTGCATTTAGGAGGTACCATTTCTCATTTTTATGATTGACATGTACGGTTATTTACATAAGGCATTGTTATGGATGCTAAGAGAATCTCTTCGAACTTGCAAAATGGTGATACCTGATCTGACGCAGTCAGCATAACATTCATAGAGACAACCAAAACTGACTTCGATATCCTGAAACGAAGAGGAAAGGGCAAAGATCACAGAAAACCACAAGACTCTGGGGGGGGGGCGGCCGAGTGGGGAAAGGGACAGACGGCAAGTTTTTGGGACGACTCCACGATCAGTTACTATAAGACACACAATATCCCACTGAATGCACAGGAACCTTGGACAAACAGCTGAACTACACTAATGGACACAGATGACACACATTTATGCAAAACAGACACTGCGGGGCGCACTTCCAACGACTGGCTTTAAGTTTCAGTCTGGGGCAGCCTCCTCCCCTAAGAAGCTTACGGCCATGTGCGTGTCGAGTTGTCAATGAGACCCACTAACGCACAGGGGCAACTTTGTACCCCAAGATTATTGCCATATTTTGCTCCTTCTGTTGTGAGAAAACATCGCAAACCACATTTAACGCCTCGATTCGCTTGGGGATGCCGGGGTCCTGCGGGCTGGGTGTGATTTCCTCGACAGACAGAATGGTCGTGAATCCTGAGTGACGTCACCAGCTGGATCCAGTGGCGCCATAACCCCCTCGCTGCGGGGGTGTGTCCTTCATCGGGAAGCGCCGCACGGTTAGACACAGGCGCTCCGCCACAGGCCAAAGCCCGTCCTATCATGACTACACCTTCAGTTGAAGCTTAGAATACCTGCTTCAGATTCTCATCACACATCTCTTTCCCATTCATGCTGGTTAGATTCTACGGTCTAATCTACTGTACACCTACATTTATATTTTCCAGTATTATCCAAATATTTAAGACAAAAAATATATACACACATATACATACTTATACATACATATATAGGCCTATTCTTATGAGTGACCCTATGAGAAATCCATCCATCCAAACATCTTCCAAATAATTGTCCAATACAGGATTGTGGGTCAGCTCATTTATCTTCATTGGAAAATGCTACAAAAACTCTGTCAGCTCTGAAAATTGTATCTACCTCACGTATTTAAAATGTCATTCGTGGTTCTCTCGTAATCTCACTACCAAGACTACGTTAAGCGCTACTTTGTCAGTGACCTTAGTCTTCGTGTACGGCGCTGCAAAACAAGCTAGCAAAAAAAAAAGCTAGTTGAAGTAGCACAGGCTAAACAGCAGATGGCGTCTCAGCACATCAGTCTCCCCGTGGAGTATGACAGCTATTTGGCTACCGCCTCTGCATTACCTAGCTGACTCCGGGGAAGGAATTCCCTGGCACCTGCCTTGTTATATTTAACTTCAACCTGCCCCATACATTTGTATCTATGCCATGACTTGCAGGGCACATTAAATTTAATTCATTCATTGATTTTCCATACCCACTGGTCCTACACAGGGTTACTGGGGTCCAGAGCCAATTCAAGGAACAACAGTCACAAGGCAGGGAATAATCCAAGATGGGGCACCAACCCATCTCAGGGCACAAACACACGCATTAACACCTACAGACAATTTGGCAACTCCAATACATCTCAGCATGTTTTTAAGACCGTGGGGAAACTAGAGAATGTAGGGGAACTTGGAAGAAGGTGCGAACTCCACACATTGAGCCGGGGGCGAGGACTGGAACCCAACTCTCCGGAGGTGTGAGGCCACTGTGCTACATGAAAATAATAATAACCTGCTGTGTGTTTTAGTCAGCCCCCTTTGAGGGGAGGGGCAATCTATTTTAAATCAGCTTTACATAATTTCTAAAAGCTTGGCCTCAGTGGTTCCACATCCATCAATTTAAAATAATTATAAAAACTTAAAACAATGCAAAATAATCAAAAAAGATATTTTGGCTATAATTTTTTTAGTTTTTTCACCCTTATCACGAGTGTAATGTTATAGTATTGGGTGAAACCAAGCTATTGTCAATGTGAGATAGGTAAGGAAGCAGGGATCACCAGGGATCTGCAGGGATCACAAGGGATCTGCAGGGATCACAAGGGATCACAAGGGATCTGCGAGCCACCTGGATTCTCACCTGTCACACATAGCTAATAGGAGTCATTATCAACATCCTCTGCATTTGAAGACAAAGAGTCGCTGCAGTGAAGAAGAGGACGGTGGGGGAGACAGACGCAGGGGAGGCCTGGCCCACAGCTCAGAGAGGGAACCCCTTCGGAGAACATCATGTCTTTCTCCTTGGCTCATTCAAAGCCTGAGAGCGCTTGCTTTTCCACGCACCCGGAATGTTCCGGGGTTGACAGTGCTGCCGTTGGCATTTCACAGTGCTGAGATGGACTGAGTCCCATCTGAGGGAAACAAGGAGGTTGAGAAAAATCCTTCTCCTCATCTCCCCCATGGCAAAAAAAAGACTTCTACTCTCCCCACGGCTCCACCTTCTGACCTCTCCGCTAGTACACGCAGAGATCAGGGAACTTCATTTCGTAGACGGGCACCGAGCGGCTCTGGGTCTGCCCGTATCCTGGGCCGATGGTCCCAGAAGGGCTGGGGGGTGGTCTGGGGAGGTACGAGAAGGATTCCATTAGCCTCAAAACTGCACAGGAGACAACGCCAT